AACATCCAACGTCAAGTTAATCGTACTGTATATCCATGTTTGTCCCTGCAAGAATATTGAAAAAATAAGTCATTGATATCTACGAGTGGGCTGAGATTGGTCAATATGATCATGTTTGCTCTCAGTGATACAGATTATAAATTTAATTGGCCTCAGTGTACACTCTGGGTTCTTCTGGTCACATGAGATACACTGAACACTTCTGCCAATCCCATGAGCCCCTCAGACTGACTGTGACAATGTGTGACAAACAGGGGCCGAATGTACGCAACTCTGGGCCCCAACTGGAGGGTCCCACTTCGCAACTCCCCCCGGAGCCGCAGCTATGTTTACAGGTACAGTGAAGTGGGAGAACAAGCAGTCAACTTTAAATAACAATGAATTCATGTTTACAGGGGAATAGAAGTTAGACTTACTCTGATGTGTTTCTATCTCACCTCATCGTCACTGCATGCTGGTGGAAGTCAGGTATCATTCTGAACTCAGTGTTCACAAATTAAATGTACATTCCACTTACTAACTACAGTGACACTGGCTGGATTTTGTAAGTCTCTAAAGGGTCAGTTCACCAAATTAAAAAAAATTATTAATTGGGACAATTGACCCTTCCTAAGACGAAAAGTGATTCAAGGAAGGAAAAGAACCGGAGACAGGGTCATGGGCGGTCAAGGCTCACTGATGGACGTGGGGAGTGAAGGCTGGCCCATGTGGTCCGATCCAACAGACGAGCTACTGTAGCTAAACTGGCTGAACAGTTGAATTGCTTTTGTTTCGATAGGAAAGGTGCTCAGAACACACAGTGCATCACAGCTTTGTGGGCTGCAGAACATTATGACCACCAGGGGGCCCAGGTGGTCATAATGTTATGGCTGATGGGTGTATAGTCACCTCTTGTCTTGGCAAATGGAGGGTAATATTAGAAAAACGCAAGATAACTTGATAGTTAATCTACATTAATCGTTAGCTAGCAACATTAGCCATCAGATGTAACAATTTATTTAGATTAGCTAGTTAGCTAGCATTTTGTTAACATTAGCTAACTTAAAATGTGACTCTATATATTTCCCCTTTTATCTTTTAACCATCTTCAATATGTGGTTGTGTTTTCAACATAGATTAGCCTAGCACATAGCATATTTAAGTACAGGAAAGGAGGAAGTTGACTGGGGTTCTGACCGAGGCTTGCTCTGTTATTGGCGCACAGAGCAAAAAGGGGCGGGACTTAGGAAGGTTCAATTGTAATTAGCAAATACTTAGCAGTATTTTATTGCTTTTTGTAGGTTCTGTAGCCACTTTCTGTAACGGTCACATTAGTCAACACAGACTCAAAAAATGGTTGTGTAACAATTCTGGCAGTTGAATCTGGAGGCTGATGTTTTACCCAACAAATATATTTTAGTTCGGCCCTATTATGATGATGATTTGGAACTGCGTAGACACATTATGGATGTGTCCTCGATCTTTGGTCACAGACTTGACCATTGGCTGCACACAGCACCTCTCTGTCCAACGTGGCTCCACACAGCACTCCACATGCATCATCGCATGCGTCACATGCATATGCAGAAACAAGAAGAGGGCAAAGGCTGTTTTTCTGATATAATGTGAACATGGCTGAAGGATCTAAGATTAGCAAAATACCTTTTATATTTTTATAAATGACTGACTGATCAGATCATGACTTTGGCCTATAACCTGTGACAGTCACTGCAGAGGTGGTGTGCTTTATGTTCGTCTTGTCTCTGTCTTATCCATCTAACTTTAAGAACAAACTTTTAGAACCATTATCAATAGCCGTGTTTCCATTCATGTATTTTAATGCACATTTTGAAGAATGGAAATGGCAAAAAAAGTTTTTACACTTGCTTGAGGTGTGTAGGATTCAATGGCATCTAGTGGACTGCTGTGGCTCAGAGGTAGATCAGGTTGTCCACTTATCGGAAGGTTGAAGGGTTCGCTCCCCAGAACCTCGCTGCATGTCGAAGTGTCCTTGAGCAAGATACTGAACCCCAAATTTCCAAATGCTGTGCATCGGTGTGTGAATGTGAATGAATGAGTTTGTTTCTGTTCGATGGGCTTTGCCATCACTGAGTGAATGTGTGTGAAAGGGTGAATGTGGCATGTAGTGTAAAAGTGTTTTGGAGGAGTGGTCAGAAGACTAGAAAGCACAGGCCCATTTACCATCCATTACCATTGGTGTACGAGTGTGTATGAATGATTAGTTTCCGTTCAGGTGAGCAGTTGGCAACTTGCATGGCAGCCACTGCTATCA